GCTTAAGCGACGATGTGCTATGCTTGCATTCTGCAACTGTTGAACATCGATGACATGCATTTTCAATTCAACCGACATGACACAATTATATATGGCGCTAATAATGGTAAAACCAAAGCTCTCACAACAGAAAGAATAATTCAAAAAAGAAAGAATAATTTAAAAAAGTAATTTAACCAATATTTATTATAATGCACGTAATAAAGTAAATGATAAATAAAGCTAAATAAAAAATTATCTGAATCATTTAAATGTAAACAGGTTTACCACAGTCTAAAAACTATACTTTGCTCTCAACAACTATAAATAAATCAATATTGTTTAATAACGTCTTACAAAAAACAATTAAGGGTTCAAAGTAATTGAAAGGCATAATTGAAAATCGAAATATTATTGGTGTCAATAACGCCAATATAAAGAAATGCCCGAGTGCTCATCTATTTCAAACGTCGAAACGTGGAATACGAACCATTCTGAACATTCCTTTAATATTGCTCCAGTCAAAGAAAAATTTAATGAAACTATACTTTATAAAAATATAGACGCATTATTATTCTTTTTAAATTTCTTTCTTACCGACTAAAAAATATCGTACCAACGTATAACCTATAAAAATAAATTTTGCATATAAATTTTCGGTTATGTCTTTTCGTATTGATAAATTTTCAATGGAAAGAAATTAAATTTTACGATTGCACGAACTGAAAATATTATTTTGTATTTGGAATATTAAAAAATGCAATAAACATAAATTTTCTTTTCTCTTTCCTGCTCTTCATATTTGTTCAGGTGGTATAAATAAATTCGCCATTTAATTTTTCCAATTGTTTTAGTTGTTTGCATGTAGTAAATAAAGGAAATTTAATTCTTTATATTTATATTTATGTACTTGGATTTTTTTATTTTACTTTAGTATTTTAGTAAATCGTATTGTTATGTAAATTATAATTTGAAGCACTTCAATATGTTTCAAAGTTGTCTGTCATTGGGTTTGTTCCATAATTTACTGCTAGTACTATCGGTTATTTTACTCTTAGTAACAAAAAAGGACTGTTTCGTAATTTATCCAGTATTGACGCAACAGTGAAATTGGAACGCACCCCAGTAGCAGAAAAAGTGAGCGCAATCTATGCATTTTACTAACCTTACTTTCGGCCAGATATAAGATAATTATTGTACAAGTACGGTAATTTGAACTTTTGTACGATAAACGATAATATCTGCTAACGTACACCTTTTGTACGATAAAATTTCAAATTATTACCAAAATAAAATTAGTATTAAATGTTTTAATAGTTATATATTTCATTAGGTCAATAAGTAAGTGTTTTTGTGCTGAGCTCAAAAGGCCGACGCGTAACAAAGCATAAAAAGACTTACTTCTTAGCCGAATAGAATACAGGCATTTTATCTTTAAGGACCAATTTTATTTGTTAAACGAAATATTAAACGCACAGTTATTTAAAGTAGAAAGTTATGTTAGATAGATCTGCGAAAAGTGGCATTTTTTAATGGTCCAAAGTATAAAATAATGATTTTTACAGTCTAGGCTGTAAATAACCCATCCCGATTGACAAAAATATTTTTTAAGTTACTAGGTCATAATCAATCACTTTAATAACGATTGTTGACAACATTGCAATAACGTTCAAGACAAATTAAATATGAATATTTGTATCTTTATTATTTTAATATAAAGTGCTTTATTAGAATTATTTTTTGATTTATAAGGTAAAAATTATAAAATTTATTTTATTTTATACTTTAGTTCTTAAAGAAATATTATAAACAACTTAAATTTCATATTTCATTTACTCTTTTTCCATACCGTATGATAATGTACGATGTATATTTATTTTAGGTTTACATTATTACTGTTATTTGAATGTTTTTTATGGGCAATAAACTGAATAATATTTCACCAGTATTTAATGAAATAATTACCCAACACTTTATTTGACAGCTATTTTTTGCTTTTTGGTTATGGTTTTTACACAGCACCTCTCTGCTACCAGTTGTTTAATACTGAGCTCAGTTGCTAAAAGTGGAATTCGGAATGGGTTTCCATTATCCAATGTGTACAGTAAGGTTTGCAATTTCTTGCGGATGACCTAAAGATATTTGAACAAATTTATTGCCTAGATGCTTCCATGAGCCTCCAAAGTGATTTTGTGTTTGTCCTATTGTGTATGTCTTTTGAAGGGGACTAAGCCCGAGGTCTGTTTCTATCCCTAACCAGCACAAACCATTTAGTTGGCTTCTGGGACTTCTTAGGAAGTAGGTAAGGGTGTAACTAAAAGAGCACTTGTATATACTTTTTTGTATATCCAAGCCAATTGGGGAACTAAAAAAACAATTGTGTTTATTTAAGTAATTATAAGACTAGCAACTAATAAATGATTTATTAAAACTAAATTTTGTTCGAAATAATTGCATCAATGACAACAAAAACAAATAATTTGCTAATTTTTTATTAATTGATTTTAATTCAAAAAGTATTTTAAAACCAATAAATCTATTATTAAAAAGAGTTTATTTAAAAAAAAATTATGATATCCCTTCACATAAAATTCGAATATAACAAAGTCGAGTTGCCATTTTCTCAAAATCCAAACACGCCTCTAATCTCTCTTGAGAGTATTTAAGGCTTGTCCTAAAGAGAATCATCCGCTCAATGCAGTACAATGGACTACATGGGTATTATAGTGGATATTACAAGATCCACTGGCATTATTTGGTACATTATAACACACATTTAGGACCATGTCCAGTCCTATTATTCTGTATACGACAACTAATTTGGGAATTAGACTGAGCTGCGCCCTTGATATGCCTGATCAAAAACCGTGTTATCAGTGTTTAGCATTTATTTGTTCATGGCCATGGCAATTCAGTTTAAAAGGATAATATAATATAAATATTTTTAAGTTAATAACGCCTTAAGTGTTAAAGGATAATAAAAGCGTTAAAGAAAATTTGGAAACATGTTTGAAGCAATACATTTTTCTGTGTGAATTAGGTAATATTAAAGACGGTATACGGCAGAAGAACGATGTCTGTATAAAATAGACGAACTTTAATAAACAAAAGTGTATTAAAGTCGCTTGAAACTGCATAAAATAAAGTTTAAGAACCTCTATAACGTACCAAAGATGGTAATTTGATTACAACCTGGATTCTCAATGAGGGTACCTCCATACACAATATAAAGTTTCAACATTGAAGGCAAAAATGGACAACTTATTGAAATTTAATATGGGACTTCTTAATTATTTTGCTAAGCAATGTAACAACAGCCCGAAAAAATATATAAATATTTAAACTAAAACACAAAACAAGGCGAACCTAAAAAAGTGTAATTAAAAACGTTATTATTAAATTTTGAAACTGCATGAAATTTAATAAATGTATAAATAAGTTTGCTGTATGAAAACCTATAATAAAAATTTTTAATAATAAGTTTTAAAAAATAGTATTTTATTATTTGAAACCCTTTGTGAAGGTTTGCTTATTAAAAAAACGAAACCTTTTAAATGTATTTTTCAAAATAAAAGTCTTCGTTGGTAATAAAATGTATTATTCCTTTTTACGCACTCTGATATGTGCGAAAAGTTAAATTCAATTATATTGTCAGGCCGTTTAAAAAATCCCATTGGATTATTTAATTAGATTTATAGGAGCTCCTTGTATTTTCAGCAAATGTAATTATAAAATTGACTTTGACTATTAAAGTTTTTAACTAACATTTTATTTTTTATAAAAAGTTTTTCAGGGCAAAAGTATCTTTGGCGGTAAATAATTTGCATATGTGAAAATAAATAATAGTGTTTGTAACCGTCTAGTCTCAAAATAAACAAAGGAAACTTTTACTTTGCTTCCACTGGGAATAATCCGGCACTATTAAATTTGCCATCATTAATTCACGACAAATATAATGTGGAATAACAAATAACCTGTAATTTGGACCAAATACTGAGAAACTTTGTGCACATCCTACTTAATTCCAGAATATTTGAACTCATTTACATTCACGGTCATATTTCAATTAGCATATTTTCACTAATTGCTTTAAAGTTTCCGCGATTCGTTTGAGAAATTATTATTCAGGATGAGCTCAAATTAAATATCCAACGAAATTCGACTTAAAAATATTTGTTTTAATAAATAATTTATCTCAAAAAGCCCAATTAAGTAGGATAGAAATTGTTTATTTTATTTAAAGCATGACTAGTGCCGAGAAATGCTTTCTAAGGGAACTACAGACCCTAAATGAGGAGCCCCTGGAGATGGTATTTATTTAATATATCCAAAACCGTTCAAGGTAGAAAAGTAAAATTTTGGGAATTAATCAAACTTTTTATGTAATAATAACAATTCAAAATTTCCATGAGGGGTGGGTCAGATAGATGGGGAATAGTATAGTAGTTTATATAATGTGAGACAGGGTGTTTAAAAATTTTCCATGGCCTACGCTGAATCTTTTTCTCTAGTTGTGATTACATTATGAATTTTTATGCTATGTAAGGTAAGGTGCATGCTATCGAAGTTCATCATAGGACATTTTTTGTGTGTAAAACTCTGAAATTTTATGATTTGATATCATAGCACAAGATACGTACTCCTTATGAAAATTTTGTATTTGTATTACTCAAACTTATTGGCTATAAAAAGTTTGATTATATCTCAAAATTTTACTTTTCTATCTTAAACAGTTTTGGAGATATTAAATAAAAACCATCTTCAGGGGCTCCTCTTTCGGGGACTGTAGCCCCTTGGAAATCATTTCTCGACCTATTTTTGTACGTAGAATCTGATGTTAAAGTATTGCACGCTAATTATGGGACACCCTGTATAAAATTTATTAAAATTTGTTGTAACAATTTAAAATACATAAAGTACATGTGTAGCAAAATGAACTCCGAGTTTATTGACAAAAATCCACGCGTTACCAGCCTTTATTCGAAAGCTTAAAGAAGGTTAATTAAAAAGTTGAAACTTACATATCACATTGAGTTTCGCGTTGGCTCTGATTGCCTTGTGCAAACGAGCAGGGCCAACCTGACACTGATATTCAGCGTCGTCTTCCAATGAGGCGTTGCTGATCCTCAGGTTATATTCGCCCAATCGGCGGTCTCCAATTACTGAGTACCTCGGAAAACCGGGAATTACGTTCAAAAAACCTGAAAAAAAATAAAACGTATAAATACGTAACATAAATTGTTTTTCCAACATTTTAAAACAAACTTCCTTTTCATTAATTTCCAACTTCCAAATTTCGCTGGAATTATGAAACGTTAATCGCAAAACCCTCCGACGTAATTTTCCTGCTTGTTTAGTAATCCGATTAAAGTTAACAATAACTCAATTTAACATATAAATGCTTCGCATATTCATTTTGTATTCTCTTTATTTTGATTCCTTGATTAAATCAATTAAAAATATTATACAATTACATTTCCAAACTAATTAAAATGTATTAATTTAAACTAAAATATAAGTACATTTTCGTAATTATTCCTGTATTTCATGTGAGAAGAACATAAATAAAAATCCGTATTTTTTATATTTTATCATGCACAAATTCCTTTGAATATTTGAACATTAGATTATCCACGGGCCATTTGAATGTGTTATTTATTACATTATTAACCAATATTTATTTTTAAATTCTGTCGCGATTTTATCAGGTTCGCCAAAATATATATCGCCTATAGGTATATATTTGTTTAACGGCCGCCCGTAATAAATGTTATATGTGGATTACACAATGGGTATTTGGGCCTGGGAAAACCTACACTTCGAAGCTTTGTTCCCATTACAATCAGCCACCCCAACATATAATGTTACTGGTTAATAATATTCAAACGATATTGTCTTACTCTTTGTGCCGTGATTCCAATTTCAAAATGATTCCATACATTTGGATTGTATGGTTTCATATAGGCTTAAAATCAACTTATCAATTATATTTTAACACATATACGCAATAAAAAAGCATTAAAATCAACCGTTTTGTGTACCCAACTAAATTTACTGAATTTTTATAATTGTCTTATTATAATAATGCATATATGCAAAAAACGACACTTTTTTACAAAACCAACTATTGAAAAGCTACCTCTTTCCTAAAATGTTAAAATATAGTCAAAACTTGAAATGCATATCCTTAAACCAGATAAGTTAACGATAAGATACTGCTTTTCTAATGATTTTGTGATAATATCGAGTGTTGTTTATTATTTTTTATGGTCCATGAAATGTTAACATTTATGTGTGCATACTGTTATCACAGTACTTTTACCCATATAAGTATCTAATACTCAGTCCTTCCCTATTCAACTAGCAGTATAGGACTATACTGCTAGTTGAATAGGGAAGGACGAAAACGCTACGTATATGCATCGGTCTCTTTTTATAGCATTTTCAGTCTTATGCGCTTTCCCGAAAATTGAATTAAACGAATAGCAGAGCGTCACTCAAAATAAGTAACTTCGACCCATTCTGAAATATAGTTCTCGGACATGCGCAGAAGACTGTAGAAAGAGTCAAAAGCTCCGTGACACTTACGGGCTCTAGCAATATTAGAAATATGCTTTTACCATAATTGAATACATAGGTGCAAGAACCAGGCAAGTCTATTTTTCACCTAAACTGAGTTATCGGTTCAAACTTACTAAACGCACATTATTTGGTACAAGAATCAGACAGGTCCGTTGCAGTTTAACGGAGTTAATAAGAGAATGTACTGCCTGATTCTTGCACCAAACAATGCGCAGTATTGCGTGTTTAGTAGGTTAAATAGGTATAGTAGGGTCTAAGGCATCTAGTTCCGGGATCCCGGGACCGGAATTTCCCGGGACCACATGAATAATGCCAGGAACCGGGACCATCTATAAGCTATAGCTTTAGTCTATATATAAGCTATAGCTTTAGTCCAGGGACCATAGCTTTAGTCCCGGGACCATAGCTTTAGTCCCGGGACCATAACTTTAGTCCCGGGACCTACGGTGGTCCCGAAATTTTTTACAAAGTAGTTTAAACCCCCAGTGTAAGATGGAGTCTCCAAGTGTTGTCATTCCAACTACGAGGCAGCTTTAAAACGATTATATAGAAGGAAATGTCTCTGTTTTGAGGACGAGGGTAATCGTGGCCGATTCTTGCAGTTGGCCTAAGAATATCTCTCAACCATTCCTCCTACTAGTGTTAAAGCCGAGAGAGCTTTTTCAGTTGCCGGTTCTTTCTCCACTAAAGTAAGATCGTCTTTTGGAAATGAATCCCTTAGTGCTTTGTTTTCCTTAAAATTTTACTTTAACCAACCGAGAACGAATAACGATTAGCAATATGTTTCATTTATATGGTAATCTTGCGTTTATGTTTCTACATTTATTTCATTTTATTTATGTACCTCAACAAATAGCAACTAATAATTTAAGTTTTTGTTTTATGTTACATGTTTTATGTTTTCTGTTCTGTTATGTTACATGTTTATTTGTTATGCACTAGCAAAGTTTTTACCATTCGTAAATTCGTCATATCGTAAATAAGGTACTCTCTAAATATGAATTAGTCAAAAATGACTAATTTAATAGTTATTAGTGGCTGTTTTTTCACTTGACCATGTAATACCATGGTATCCCAAAATTTAACAGCCAATTCGTATGTAAAATTGTCCCCTGAATCCAAAAATTATGAAAGTGGAGCAGTTTTTGAGATATAGTCAATTCCATATTAAATGGAAAATTGACTATATCTCAAAAACTGTTTTTTAAATTTTGACGACATTTTCGGATTGAGGGGACAATTTTACATAAGGATTGGCTGTTAAATTTTGGGATACCATGGTATTCCATGGTTAACCATGGTACAAGTGAAAAAGCAGCCACTAATAACTATTAAATTAGTTCATTTTTAGAGAGTAAAGATCTACCTACTTGCCATATTCGGGACTTCGGGACTGGTCCCGGTTTTTTTCAGCCGGGTCCCGAACTCCCAATTGGCCTTTTGGTCCTGGGATTTGGATACCCTTATAGGGACCTTGCACCAAGTTCTTCCATTAGTAATAGTTTTATAAAAGTTTTGTTTAAATTTTTTAAAATGTTTAATTAAATACTAATATATATATATATATATATATATATACATCCCACTACACTTATGGCGTCCTTTCATGGACGTCACTTATGGCTTCCTCCTTAAGGAAGCATATATATTCATTTTTGATTAAAGTATATTAGCTAACCCATTCTCCTTGTGCCTCCACTCGTTTAAAATTTTAGTTATTTTTTTAAAAATATACGGCTTTGTGACCTCCTTTTATAATGCAGACATATGAGCCCCACGAAATATATGATTTTGTACATTTCACAATATATATGAACTCCGGCAATGTTGCCATATTTCATAATATAAAAAACTATTATATTTTTATAAAACTTAGGATATAACTTGAAATATTATAAATACCCTATATTATTTAGACTTTCTTAACAAATTTTGAATAAGTATTAAACGAATGGTGATATTAAAAAACTTAATTTTATTGTTAGAAAAATAAATTGTTTTTAGTTATTTTTATTTTGGCTCGATCTAGCATAAGAAAATTTGCGGTAGGTATATAAATTCAATTAAATTTAAAACATTATATTAAATACCTTCCTATAGGTATACTAATGTTAAAAAACGGTTTTTCAGAACACCATTTTACTTTGGAAAAAATCATATTTATTTATTTAACAATATTTATTATATGAGACGTATGTATACTTTTTGCTTTTTAACAGTAAAGGACAAAAATATTGTGGCTGTAATTAAAAATAAATGTGGTAATATTCAAATTGTATTACAATAATTGTAATTGCAAGACCACATTTATTTTTAATTATCATTACAATGTTTTTTGTGAGTTTTGCATATATATATGCGTATACGCCCCATCTATGGATATTAGGGTGATTCATTTCCGCAAAGTTTTTGTTTTCTTCGGTGCTCAAGCAAAATATTAATCTGCATATAGAAAAAAAAATTCTCAACAAGTTTGAGCTCTTAATATCAATTTTAAGTACTTGCAGTTTAAATTTAAAGTTTTCCCATTTAAAAAGCATGTAAAAAAATGTTTTTTTTTTCAAATTTCTAATGCTTACCCACCTTTGACAATATTGCAAATCGGTTTAATACACCTTATGGGGAATTTCACGCTCTTTAAAATTGCTTTTGAGTTTTTTTTTGTAACTCGCATTGGTTCACCAGTAGGAGTCGTCAAAGGACAGTTTTTGAAAAAAATCGTTTTTTTTTTAAATTTTTTCTAACAAACCGCAAAAAGTAGGGAGAAAAGTTTTTGTTTTCTTCGGTGCTCAAGCAAAATATTAATCTGCATATAGAAAAAAAAATTCCTCAACAAGTTTGAGCTCTTAATATAAATTTTAAGTACTTACTATTTAAATTTAAAGTTTTACCGTTTAAAATGCATGTAAAAAATATATTTTTTTTTTCAAATTTCTAATGCTTACCCACCTTTGACAATATTGCAAATCGGTTTAATACACCTTATGGTGAATTTCACGCTCTTTAAAATTGCTTTTGAGTTTTTTTTTTGTAACTCGCATTGGTTCACCAGTAGGAGTCGTCAAAGGACAGTTTTTGAAAAAAAATCGTTTTTTTTTTAAATTTTTTCTAACAAACCGCAAAAAGTAGGGAGAAAAAAGGGCTGAATCATAAAAAAAGTTATCCAACCAATATTTAATGAATTTACAGCCATTTTTATAACTGAAAACGTAAGAAATTGATAATTACCAACTCATAATGTTATTTAGATTGATTTTTTCTATTTATTATCATTATATTTCCCTACACTAAGAAGTTTTTTAAAATTATTAATTTCTCACTTATAATGAATATGAAAACAACAGATAAATTCATAAAAAAATAGCAAAAAAGTATAAATGAAGATTATTTAATTTTTTGAAGCGAAATTTGAAATATGTTACATAACCTTCTGTATATTCCGATTAAAGTTTTGTTGTTTTTTTATGAATTTATGTGTTGTTTTCATATTCATTATGAGTGAGAAATCATAATAATTTTAAAAAAGTTCTTAGTGTAGGGAAATATAATGATAATAAATAGAAAAAATCAATCTAAATAACATTATGGGTTGGAATTTATCAATTTCTTACGTTTTCAG